GGTAAGATACGGATTAGGTACTGAGGAAGTTAAATATTAAAGCGAGATTGATCGCTCCGTCGTCCTTGTTTTTTGACTTCTTCCCCATGAACAGAGTAATAGCTGAGAAAAACCACATTCGGAATTGCATAGAGACAAAACTTTTTTTCTGTTTTTTCCCGAAAAATTACTACTAGAATCGTAAAAAACATTTTTTTAATATTCACGGCCAGTGTAGGAAGATATGCAAATGGTCAAATACATATGTTGGTGACAATATGGAAAATTTGTTGAAATTTCAAAAGACTGCTGTTAATTCCTGAACACTCCTACCCAAATTCGCATATAAATTCTTATAACAAGTGAGGAAGCTCCTGAGCTCAGCTGAGGAACGCGAGCACATATTCCTCCAACATTCATGGCCGTCCAAGAATTAATCAACTAGCATTCCATAATCGTCCATGGTCGTGCAGACAAGACTCAAATCTTGCTCTCTTGCATTTCCTTAACGCTGTGTAAAAAGCGCGCGCCCGAAAAATGTCACGTATCCTAATCGGCGTCATCAGAACTGTACTATGTTATCATTACTTCATTCAGCGAGTTCCTGGTCGCAGCAAAATAATGAGCTGACTATGGTAAAGTTATGCATGAGGTTGGTCTGTGGTAAGATTCAAAATAGGTCCCCGAAGATCTTCCCTCGATAACTTACCGACACGCGTTTGTGGTGATTGGACGAGCCAATATCTATTCGGAGTTTGTCAAGATGGTGTGTGGAAGCGAGTCTAATCGATTTACAATATGTCGGAAAAGTGAATCGACAATTCATGGAGGAGATTCTTCCGTTTGTGAATCAAATCGATCTAATATAAGTTCGCCTTCGCATGGCAGAATTGACTTCAATCGAAGACAGAATACTCGACAAAGGAGAAACAGTGGCAATAAGTAGGTCGTCGGGAAAATATGTACATGGAAATTCTGGGAGGAAAAGTTGGGAAATTCTCAGGGTCATCGATATATGTGATATCTCGGGTCTGTTCTGAACTAGTAAATACTTCAAATAGAGCATTTTGGCGATGTTCTACTCCATCAACTCGATGTTGTACTCAGTTTTACTACTATTTATAACAGTAACAATACAAATTATGACGATCAGTTGTTTCATGTCGATATGCACTCATGAGAAAAAGTGCGATGGTCGTATCTTTGCGTTTCGAAAGATATCTTTCCGTTTCAGATGTTATTGTCAAATCGAGGCCCCACCTCCACTACCTCACTCAGTGTCCATCATCCGGTCCCGTACAAGTTCCCTTAGTCTACCCCAATCCCCCGAGCCTAGTTGTACCTCCCTTTCTGACTCGGCGTCGAGGCGGTGGACTCAACGGAGTACTATCGTCAGTCGAGTTTCATTCGACAATGTAAGCAACGCATTTTCTCTAGTGTTGATCAAGATGGACTCGGGTGTTTGTTAAGTTGTAGTATAAAATTGTAATCTACTGTAGAGTTACAATCACGATTTTATCACTGGTTTTGATGGCTGATTCATCATGCATCAAGGAGTGATTACTTGTGTTCTCTTCCAGGTATCCCATAAATACTCATCTTACATGCCTCGACTTACCACTACAACTGGTGTCCTCAACACGGCATTGGTATTCCTCCTATCATTGGATCCTCCTCCTCCTCATACCACGAAGCCCGTCGCTGCCACTAACGCCTGTATTTCAGAATGTCTCAGATATCTCGCTGCTGGCGATAGTGATACTCGCTCAGAATGGGATGTCCTGGTGAGTAGTTAATTTACTATTCGTTTTGCTTCACCTGTGTTCAAATCTCGTTTGTGACTTACTTGACCATCATCTAAGCCAGTGTTGAGATATACGTACCGTTTTTCCTCAGCTCAGCTTAGGAGGTTCCTCACTGATTATACGAGTATACTAATAATTTTAATGAATAATTCCCAAACTTTTCTCAGAATTTTGATTTTATCATGAACATAGTGTCCAATTTTTCGACACTGATTTATCGTGATGGTTGTTGTTGTGATCAGATGGACGACATCACCATGTTGGAGTTGCGACTTCGACAATGCCATAGGATGTTGGATAATTGCGGTAAACGATTCGGCAAGCCTCTAGTATGTCTAGTAGTGCTCACTGCCGATCAAAACGTGTCCGGACGGAAACTTTGCAGTAGACGTCAAGATCACCGACTAGCAGTGGAAGATCTGTGGCGGAAATGGGGTCCGAGTGGTGAGCACGTCCTGGCTGATCGTCACGACTACGAGTGGAACGGGGAGAAGCTGCACAGTCTCGTATGTGACCTTTCAGAGCGGCTCGCTCAGCGATGGCAATCGAGCAGTGTTATGGTCTTATGACTTGTTTATCTCAGTTTAGCACGTTTTGAGCCGTTCAAGTGCTTTTTCCTAAGAAAGTATCGAATTGTTGAATTAACAGTGAACTCAAACTACGTGGTATAATTATCATACATCATTCTGTGTGTTGCGTTCACATTTAATAAAAGCTAATTTTCTCTCGTTGTCGATCTCACCCGGCTCCAAGGGGAATTTGCTGTATACTTGCTCGTAGCATGCTGGTGATATACACCTGAAAGACCAGATATCATCTGATTGAAAATTATAATTTGAACTGTCAATAATAAAATCCACATGCAACATCCCGACATTATTTCCCACATTTCGAAAAGCAGTGTAAACTGGCTGGAAATTTTTGCATTGTTACATACTCATCTATGCAAGATTCGACGAGGTCGGGTAGGCGAATGGCTCGGCATGCTGGTGTCCGGGAACACTTTGCTCTACGACTGTTCCAATGCCGACTGAGCACTCCAGTAGATTGTGCGATGAATAGAAAGACTCCGATGAAAGAGTACATTAGAACCATGCTGAAAGTTGATAGTGTTATTGACAAAGAAAACACCGGGGTGTCACTGTGATGGAAAGACTGCTCAACTAACGATAGTATCAGTGTTTAAATATTCTGTGAACGGCCACAGCCTTGCATAGTATAAAAATGACTACAATGCAAGTTCCTGTGCAGTTAGGGGTCGATTTTCAAAAATTGGTGACAGAGAACTAACAGTAGTCGGCGAGTAAGCCTTCGTACTGCTATTATTAATAGACGTTGGAGAGTTGCGGTATCGAATGGAATCATTTCCACCACCACCACCACCATCATCATACATCCTGACATAAGGGCAAGTGTGATGATGACAGGGGAAGAACATGACTAACCATTCTAGCTTATCCAAGCCACGAGCAAGTTCGGTGCGCTTCGTAGAGCTCGAGAGCCCTAAAATTCTGAGGAAGCCTAGCCAACGTTGATTTAAGGAGGATCGAGATAACGCCTCATGGGAGGAGGCGCCAGTTTCTGAGAGAACCCATGAGGAGGTTAGTAAGGGTCACCT